TATTCATCTCGAATAGACTATTTTCATGATGTGATTTTTGAAAAAAATATATCAAAAACAAGTTTCTCAAAAAAATATCTAAATTATTTATGAGTTTATTATACAGATTTATTTAAATAATATCAATAATCACATTTCGTTATACGTTCACCTTGTTTTCAAATAATTGCATTTAGCCGTTTTGAATACTGTTGATCATTTTCATACATTTTTCTTCACTAAAACTTTTCCATATATCAATAATTTTTTGAACGAATTATGTTAACAACCAAGCTGTGAAGATGGATGATGTGTGGCCTATTGAAAACGTATGGAGCATTATTCGACAAGAATTAAGTAAGTATGAATTTAATGCATTATATCATGTTAAACGAAAAATTATTGATATATGGAAAAGTTTTAGTGAAAGGAAAAAGGAATGAAAATGATCAACAGTATTCAAAACGGCTAAATGCAATTGTTTGAAAACAAGGTCAACGTATAACGAAATGTGATTATTGATATTATTTAAATAAATCTGTATAATAAACTCATAAATAATTTAGATATTTTTTCGAGAAACTTGTTTTTGTGTACTCAAAAAGTGAGTACACTACTAAAATCGGTCAGTGTGTCCGGCCGTCCGTTTATTCGATAACTTTTGAAAGGAGAGTCAGATCGCGATGAAATTTTCTACACAGATCAGTCTTGACAATATCTCGGTCGAGTTCGAAGATGAGAAGGATCCGTCAAGAAATGACTGAGTTATCGAAAAAATTATGATTTTTGACGAGACCATCCCTGAGGGGGGGTACGGGGATTTTTCGAAAAAAATTTTTTGCTCATAATTATTCACAAAATACATAAATCGACTCAGTTTTTAACGCTGATTCTGAATCTGATATTAGTTTTGAACCAAATCATAGTTTTGTCTACTCAAAAAGTGAGTACACTATAGAATAGTCAGTGTGTCCGTCGGTCCGGTTGGCTGTTTACATGATAACTTTTGACAGCAGAGTCAGATTGCGATGAAACTTTCTACACAGCTTAGTATTGACAATATCTCCGTCGAGTTCGAAGATGAGAAGGATTGGCCGAGTCGTTCCTGAGTTATTTCAAAAATACCCATTTTTCTCTATAGCTTTCTGTGGAAAAATCGACCCATCGCCGCTTTCGTAAAAGACTTTTCCTATCATAGTCAAATAAAACCCCAATTATTATATACCATTCCATAGAGAATTTCAAGAGCTACAAAATCATATATAAAGCATAGAGAAACAAGAAGGTTGACTCACCTATGACAAGGATAATTAAAGAGAACTAGGTTATATTTTGGTCCACGATTTAATTGATCCACAAATCGAGCTCTAGCTTCCGATCACACTGATGATACTTCGAGGTTTTTAGATATGGAGAACTCGAATGTGTACTGCACTTCCATCGAAATACTATTAGTTGTGCAGTGACCAATAGAAATGAAGTTATAGGAAAAGCGACTTTCTTAGGGTAAATCAAGGGAAAGAGTTCAAACTTGAGCTGTATTTGGCCCATGTCCTATTGGTTTGGCGACGCGTAATAGAAATCAACATTTTAAATGGTAGATTTCACAGTATAATTTTGATATTCAGACAGTCTAGGATGATTGATTTGTATGATTCACTTTTTGAAGTACACATAACTCTCGGATTTAAATCCGAAGTTTCCGCATTTATTGATATATTTTTTTCAAAAATCACATCATGAAAATAGTATATTCGAGATGAATAAAATGATCATATGATTATCTTATACTTAGGCATCTCTAAGTATTTTGTAGTCAGAAGATAGCCCTTTCTTTTCTCTACAAAATCATATAGTTTGATCAATTAATTGTGTATAAAATTGTTATAAATATGATCCATCTATTAAGAGGGGTCGAAACTTTGTGACCACTCTTTATACGTAGTCATAATTGAGGTCTATATAATTCATATATGTTTTCTGAAATTATTCGCTAGCTAAGGATGTACAATGCAATACAATTTTTTCTCTATAGTTAAAAGTTTAAGGCACTTTTAGTATTTTGTCGATTTTATCGATATTGAAAAGATACAAAAATTTTCAAAAATATACTATTAGATGCAGAATTGGACTGGCTACATTATGGTATAGAAATATTTTCTTAATTAGTTAGTTTAATAATTAAAAACTAACAATTAATAATTTTTATTAATTAGTTAATTTATTGGAAATTTTTCGTCGTTCTTGACCTTTAAGTATACCAATAGAAAGAGCGTTGAAAACTGAACAAAACTGTGTATTTTTTATTTTACAATGACTAGTTAAAATAGAATTTTTTCAAACACTTTCTTTAATTATATTAATACTCTATTAATAATTAAGCAGATTAAGACTTCAATAGAACCTTGAGAGCATTAAGAGATAGCGCATTTTGTAGAGCAGTATTTTTTCTATCGAATGATGCCTTGCAATCATCTGTAGAACTTGTGTCGGATGAAATATAACGATTCAAACTTTCATTACCGATTTTAATGACAATTTTAGCTAATTTTCTGGGTGTTTAATACTCAGATATTTCCAGAATGTTAGTCTCAACGAGCCTCTCACTACTCAAATGATTGCAAAGTATTATGCGATAGAAAAAATACTGCTCTACAAATAGCGCTATCGCTTAATGCTCTCAAGGTTCTATTGAAGTCTTAATCTGCTTAATTATTAATAGAGTCTTAATATAATTAAAGAAAGTGTTTGAAAAAATACTATTATAACTAGTCATTGTAAAATAACAAATACACAGTTTTGTTCAGTTTTCACCGCTCTTTCTATTGGTACACTTAAAGGTAAAGAACGACGAAAAATTTCCTATAAATTAACTAATTAATAAAAACGATTAATTATTAGTGTTTAATTATTAAACTAACTAATTAAGACAATATTTCTATACCATAATGTAGCCAATCCAATTCTGCATCTAACAGTATATTTTTGAAAATTTTTCTCTCTTTTCAATATCGATAAAATCGACAAAATACTAAACGTGACTTAAACTTTTGACTACAGAGAAAAAATTGCATCGCATTCTACATCCTTAGCTAGCGAATAATTTCAGAAAACATACATGAATTATATAGACTTCAATTATGACCACGTACATATATGTAAAGATATGTACTTTCTCTTACGCTTAAAAATAAAATAAAAAAATAAAAAATGTCTTGAACTTTTGTGCTTCACTTTATGAGCACTGCTAGCGAGGCCCCTCCCTCACTGGTGAATGCATATTAAACATTCAACCAGTGCCTACAAAACCTCCAAGCTCCCTTCAATACACATACACTGATTGGAAGACTGATGGAGCGACATGTTGTGCAAAGCTGCATTCAATCCAGTCATGGATAGTTGCTTTTCTGACTAACCCGTGCTCTCCTAGTTCTAGGAATCCATACCGGAAAAGATATAAGCTTGTGCGCCAATGAATATTATCGACACAGTGACTCACAAGCAAACCTAATCTTGCGTCGCCACAGAAAGCGGCGGTCTTGACCCCGGCACGGTGCATATGCGTTATCCCGACATTCTTCCTTAACCGTGCGACTACTCAATGAAAAATAACTCACCGTTGCTGTCAGATGGGGTCTTCGAGTTACTGTTGAAAGATGAATTCTTGTTAGTCACGGGCTTTTTGCTTCTCAGATATTTCGCGCTTTCGGTGTTGTAGGAATCTATAACGACAAAGGGATTAGCTTGTAAGCCAATGAATATTATCGATACAGTGACTGAGAAGCAAACGTAATCTTGCAGCGCACTGAAAGTGCGCCTCATGATCCCCGACACAGTGCATATACGTTATGCCAACACTGTTTCTTAACCGTGCGACTGTTGAATGAAAAATAACCCACCGTTGATGTCAGATGGGGTCTTCGAGTTACTGTTGAAAGATGAATTGTTGTTAGTCATGGGCTCTTTGCTTTTCAAATATTTGGAGCTTTCGGTGTTGTAGGATTCTATAACGACAAAGGGATTAGCTTTCGAGCCAATGAATATTATCGATACAGTGTCTAAGAAGCAAAGGTAATC